CCGCACTTCATGCAGCAGCAGTCGACATAATGTCACAAATACATGCTCCGAACGAAGATAGATCTCTGGTGAACTTTGTGCTGACCTGGCGCGTCCACCGTAAGCGTCTGTCAGCACGGGACCTACAGACGTGCGCACGTTAGCACGCATGTATTGGCCAGTCATAGGCAACAACGTGTTGACTAATAACCTCACATGAAGTGAAAAGGTGCTCTGGCTCGTCTGTGCACTTGCGTTCTCGTTGACCTACCTGCCAGATGCGTGTTGCCGAGTTAACCTATTCTGGCTTTTGAACAAAAAAGACTTTCAAACGGGCGTTTACCATCTTCTCTCAGTCGACATATGACTTGTGGTATGGCCAAAAGAGGAAAATAAAAGGTAAAAAACAGAATTTAAAAAAATACGAGCACCGCATGCACTAACCTGCGAACAGACCGCACGACGCCTAATTAAGGTAGCCACGATGATTCTGAGCTAACATTGCGCGCAGTATTTGAGTATCATTGGCCACGATAACCGCCCACCGAAATACACCTCTTAAAATAATGCACATTTTCTGTTACTCATCCAAATTAGGTACCGATGAATATTTAGATTTGTTTATCGGAAATATGCATTTGATTATTAATAATTAGGCATTTACAGTAACAAAGGGGGGAGTAGACTTACAAAAGCCTAAACATAGAATAAACAATAAGTATGAGGAAGAGGGTTGAGGGCGTTCAGAGATTAGTTGTTGTAACTTATTCCTAGAAGAGGGGAAAGGAGGGAGTGAGGAAGTGGCTGACAATCAGCTAGGTTTCTGTTTCGTCGTTGTGGCGTGACGTGACAGATCTAAACACAGGTGCCGAGTTCATCTTCGGCCAGCGGAGCCCTAGGGCCTGTATAAACGCATTTTACGAGTTTGGTTGGTCAGTCGTATGTCCACTACTTTTGCCATTACATGCGTCAGCTGACGCAGGAACTTGGAGTTTCTAGCTGGCACTTTATAGATGACTTGAAGTGCTTGGACCTTAACATGTCTTGGTTTAACCAGGTAGGATGATGCTCTTGTGGCGGTTCTGGGCTCGGCGCCACTATCGCTGACTCATCGTGACTTCGCCCGCCGACTTTAAATTTGTGGTGACTGCCTGTCACATGCTCCTTGCTGAACCTCTCGGTCGTATCGATGCCTCGCGTCTTGTTTCTTTTGCCTAGCGAGCTTGACGTCACCGTGAACCTTTTCTTGATTGGATGAGGCAAACAAAGAACTGGACGGGAGTGCAGCTGATCCAGCGTGCGTAGGCGCATAGACACACAACAACTGGCTTGTCTGTTGTAAACTTCCCTATTCAGTAGAGTCTTTTGTCAGCTTCTTTTGTACAGTATACTGTCCAATGTAATTGGTCTTACCTGACTTCTGACTTGTGAGAACCTTCTGTAGTCGACGATCCCTTTTTCGACTTTCTGGCATTTGCTT